TGCTACCAATGATAGAACCAAAGCTTTAATTTATCCTACGTAGCTCAGCACTGTCACTGTGTTCTGGAGTTACTGGTCAAAAATGCCTTTATTGAAAAAAAAAGACTGCATAGACACCAGACATTTCACTAAAATGGTTAGTGCTGATCATGCTGATGCTGGTGTCCTTGGGCATGTGCCTCTTCATATTGCACTTCATTCAGAATTTTCGGGGACCTGAGGGGTGTTTATGTAAGTGGCCGCTCGCCGGCATGTGTGCCCATGTGCTCCTTCAAATGGGACACCTGCGAGAATTCCTGGATGATAAGGAAGGGCACTTTTATGTAACCGCTTACGTGTGCGTGTTTGCAGGTGTCTACTCAACTCATGTTTATCAAAGCCACTCTGGGGACACAAGTGGCACTTGGGGCCAGCTTGCCCATGTGGGTGCACATGTGTCCTGTTCAGATGGGAGCTTTCAGTGAACTTTTGCGGGCATGAAGGGCACTTATATGGCAGCTCATCCGTGTGAGCATGCAAGTGAACAGTCAAGCTGAATTTGTGAGCGAAGCTTTGGGGGCAGATACTGCATTTATAAGGCCGCTCACCCGTGTGAACGCGCAGGTGGCCATGCAAATCACACTTTTGACTGAAGCTCTGTGGGCACAGATGGCACTGGCTCGCCTGTATGAATGCGCAGATGCCTAATTAAACTGAATTTTCGTGAAAAGTTCTTGTGGCACTGATGTTGCCGTTCGTGCATGTGAGTTTGCATGTGATGGTTCAATGTTTGCTTATGTTTGTAGCCCTGCGAACACAACTGACATTGATATGGCCTTTCGCCTGTATGAACCCTGATGTGTTGATTGAGGCTAAATTTACGATCAGTAATGTAGTCACAGAAGCCACAGCGATGATGGCGTCTTTGCTTCATCTTTACAGCCTCCATAGTTCCTGGATTGATGTGATACCTGCAGAAGCTGCATAAATTAAGAAACCAGGTTACTCAGAAACCAGGACCTGCGGCGAGACGTACGGGAATTACCAGGCATGTCCGTATGGTAGGTAGGAGACGGTGAACGGTAATAGGACGATAGGGAGGGTGGTCGTAGGTAGTTCATGGTCGCACGGAAGCTTCAATGTTCTTCAGGAGCGTAGCCGCGTTGCTCGTCTTGTTGGCGCCTTCGACAAAACCGAGCGATATGTCCTCGATAGCCGCAGTAGTAACAGATTGGTCGAGGTGGGTGCTGAGGTGCGTAGTAAGGTGGTGCACGCACTGGCGGTGATAACGAAGCCACGGGTGTATGGTCTGCTGTTGTAAGCACAGAAACATTGGGTGCGGCAGAGAGCGCAGCAACTGCGGCGTACGTGCGCGTCTGGCGCACGCAGGGACCGTTGGAACACGTCAAACGCAATGCGGAGGCGATCTCTTATTTAATCAGGTCTCGCAAGCTATCTTTTTCAGAAGGGAAAGTAACTTCCGCAGCACAGGAAGAGCAGCGCCCGTGAAGCTCTTCACGAACGATGTCGCGAATAAGCGCACGCAAGTCGAGGGGTGCAGGCAAACGAATGTCGGTGGCATCGTAGCAAAGGTGAAGAGACTGAAGCTCGTCAACTCGCTGACAGATGGTTATCACGTCCTGGGTGGTGGCAGGATTTTGCGTGGCGAGGGTGTTAAAGGTGACGGTGTTAATGCTTTTAATAATGTGGCATATTTGGTTGTTCTGAGACATGCCGGTGTTCATGCGCTTGCACAATGCAAGGACATCCTCAATATAAGAGGTGTAAGATTCACCCGGCAGCTGCGTGCATTCAGCAAGCTTCTTCTTTGCGGCCTCAGTGCGAACTGCAGGGGCACCAAATATCTGACGAATTTGCTGCTCGAAAGTCTCCCAGTCAGGAAGATCCGGGTGGTGGTTCCAAACCAAGTTTTCGCAACATCGAACAAGTAAAATGGGACGCTGCGCAACTTCTGTGGATTGTCCCACCTGTTCAAATCGCTGACGAGGTCGTAGTTCTTGATCCAGTCTTCGACATCATCATCTCGGAGACCGGAAAACACAGGTGGATCACGCAGGGGAATGCTGTTGGGCGGAGCGGGTAATGGTGGCTGCAGTAGGACGGCGACGTTGGGTGGATTAGGGTTTTCTTGGGCCGCCATGGCAGGAGGTTGTATGCGACGACCCGAGCGGAGCTCCAGCGAGAACGAGCGAGAGGACTTGAGGGAACGAAGAGCACCCTTCACCACTTGTGAGGAACCGGTTTATTCAGCCAGGCCCGAGCTAAATCACGCTGGTGATGATATTTACAGATGAAGAATATGTACAGGTGATGATGATATCAAAGAGAATAAAGAGTCATTCGCTAGTCGCGCTCACAATATTGAATACAGGGAGGAAAGTAGGCACTGTTCTGAACAGCTTAGCCAGACCTTACAGTAATGCTGGCAAGGAGAGCATTTATAAGTGGAGTGCGAAGTTGCACGTTTCTTAAGTATGCACTCATCATACAGAGCCATCTGTCCTATTTTCACCAGGTACTGTTGTATTTATCATGCAATGCCTGTTGTATTTTATACAGCAAGTTGCTGCCATTAGCCAACAGTCGTCATAAAACGAGAGGTGTGTTTTCATCAGATACGCTTCTTGGCATAATGCATGGCATCGTGCAAGCACCGCGCTCCAGTCTGCTGACAGCACACTCGCATACAGGAATAAGAGAGAGGGTGATTGCATATCGTCGTGCACACTCAAGGTCACGATGCATACTGCCATAAGTGTGGCATACTTTTTGTGGAATAGCCAAGTCCGCTCTAACTGAAATTAATAGAAATGCAATCGATACTAAGAATATCGTTGAGCCTGCTCCAATGTTCTGCCAGAGCCCTCCTCTCACTAAATACCTGAAATGTACAAGCATCCAAGACCTATCTAGCCCATTATCATCAGAAGCCATGCGTAAAATTTGTGTGTGGCTCTTAAAGATTGGAACACTTCATTTTTGCTCATATTGGCCACGCAAAATCAGTCAAAACAGCAGCGAGTTTCTTTCGTTTCTGCAGTTCTGGGGTCATTCTTTTCAGTGTGCTCCACATGCACTCCAGCTTGCTAACTCCTCTATATCTCTGTGATGCTTGAGCTGCAAGGAATTTCTTGCTACGCAAGAATGGGGGCATGGAAGGCCGCCGCACAATGTTTGAAATACGTCATTTACAAAGAAAAAAAATCGTACTAAGAAGACAAACGACTGATTCTGGTTCAGAAAAGGCTGAATATTCCAAACAAAAATTACTTTTTTTTTCCATATTGTTGTTTACCCTGTCCCCGTAAGTAGGTCGAAGTAGTTTCAACATTTATAACATCTCTAAGCAAACTGGGGCAATCTACAATCATAACCTAAACTCAGAAAAGCAGTGCCAAATCAAAAGTAAAGCTAATCGTGCGCCTGTCTTGGTCAAAATGAGCCAGATTTATTAAACAAGAACTGTGTCAGCAAAGGTAATTACTAACAGAACTAAGGCAACATTAGAATTCAATCAACCAAAGGAACAAGCAGGATTTCGACCAGGCTACTCAACAATCGACCACATTCACTACCGTCAATTAGGTGACCGAGAAATACTCAGAATACACCCAACCACTATACATAGCCTTCATAGATTACGAGAAGGCATTTGATTCAGTAGAGATACCAGCAGTCATTGCAGAAACAGGGCGCCAACTTAGCATATATAAACATTCGAGCATTCTCAAATCATGACTGGTAGAGTGCCACTATCCCTCAAGAGAAAGGTATATAACAGCTGCATCTTGCCAGTACTTACCTACAGAGCAGAAACCTGGAGGCCTACAAAGAGGGTTCGCCTAAACTGAGAACGATGCCGCGAGCGATGGAAAGGAAAATGATAGGTGTAATCTTATGAGACAAGAAAAGAGCATAGTGGATTAGGGAACAAACCGGGGGTTAAGGATACCATAGCTGAAATCGAGAAGAAATGGACATGGGCAGGGCATGTAGCATGTAGGCAGCATAATCGTTGGTTATTTAGGATAATTGACTGGATTCTCAGAGGAGGCCAGAGGGTGATGGGGAGACATAAAGTTAGGTGGGCAGGAGAGATTAGGAAGTTTGCGGGTATAAAATGGCAGCCGAAAGCAGAAGACTGGGTTGATTGGCGGATCATGGGAGAGGCCTTTGCCCTGCAGTGGGCGTTGTCAGGCTGAGGATGACAAACTTTCTTTGGCATAACTGATAATATTTCGTTTTACAGTTGATGGATGTCATATATATTACTTGAAAAAGCACGAGATACTGTGGGGTCCCGAAATGAGATTGCCGCTCTCGGAACACACGGAGTCAGCAAACACGGTCGAACCAAACCAAACATCGTGTACATTTATTGAACTATTTTTACATTGATAATATTGTCAGCCGAATCAAATATGTATCTAGTGACATGCTGAAACATACCTTATACAATATTCCAATACACTCAATCTACAAAACAAATAGAAGGTAACGCAAGGGCGTCGTCGCAGACTCACCAGGGGAGGCCCACAGGAGACGACCTGCGCTGTCGTCCCCGTGAACCTACCGTGTAAGACGACCTCTAGCGCCAGCAGTAATGCGTAAAAAAAAAAAAAAAGAAAGAAGAGAAGAGGGGAAAGAAACGCTCATGTCTCATGTGCCATGACCCAGCCTCCCTGTGCGCCACAAGGCGCAGACAACTTTACAGGGGGTGATAGCACCTCCACAATACTTACTAGAACTCACTGCTTGGCGACAGCCGAGGAGGCTGTTGCAGTACTGTCGACTGCCAAATCGCAAATATAACTGTATCCAACGGCAATAAGGAAAGAGCTTGCAACACCAATCACATAAGTTATATTTGAATACTAAGCACAATACTGTGCCAATAACTTCACACACTTCCTGTGGGGCCACGAGATGCCAAGAATGTGCAATATTGACAGCCCACCGTAGTTGATTTAGTGAGATGAAAAATACAGCAGTGATCTTGAGAGAGACTGTTTATTAGTGCAACAATCCGTTTTTACAGGGCCAAAATGAAAACGCTAAAACGTCATGAAAAATACACAATAACGAACAACCTGCGAGAACTATCACATTTATGAGAACAGAGGTAACAAAACTAAAAATCACAAAATGAAAAAGCCACATCTTCTCCTTAAGAAAGCAACTAAACAAAATGCAACAGTAACACGAATGTGGCAGTGGTATCACAGGCACAGCGTCTAACGAAAAGCAACATTTCACAAAGAGACTAAGTCAATTCTTACGAGCTGACTAACTTGCGTTTCTAGCATGATACATTGGCAGTATCAGTGAGCACAGGGAGTTTTCTTAATAAGTTCTTCCCCAAAAGGTCACTCATTGACGACCAAATCGGCAAGCAGGAACAGAGAAACCTAGTCTGAATTAAAAGTGGTAAATATAGTAATGAGCTCCTCGATATAAAACGTCTTAAGTTTAATGCCTTCACACAGTTTTTCATAGCTCGTGTATACAAGGGTCATTAAAGGGTAATTTTTTAACCACATCATAAAAGAGAAATTGAGTGCTCTAGACTCTAGAGTAATTACAAAAAGAAATGGCCAAAGCAGAGACCAACAAAAGGTTGCTAACATTACTGCATGAACTGTCAATTTCCTTCGTTAAAAAAAAGGCCACTTAGCTCCCACATAACAAGGCATACGTGCTGTTCTTAGTTTAACACATGTACACACACACACATGCTTCTTACAAAAATGTCGACACCTGAGAATAAAAAGTCACATAGAATCACGTTACATAAATTACACAACATGACAGACTCCACATAACTATGCAACTGCATAATAAAACTTAATTATGCCATATAGCTCTGCGCTGTCACAGTGATATAGAGTTACTGTCGGAAGTGCCTTTACGAAAAAAAAATAAGGACAGCACAGACACCAGAACCTTCTCGAAGATGGTTACTTGTGATCATGCTGATGCTGGTGTCTTTCTTTCAAGGTGGTCACTTTGATTATATATTGTAGGGCAAGAAGCCATTTATGGCCACTTCCCCGCATACCTAGGTAGGCATGTGCCTCTTCAGATTGCACTTTGTTGAGAACCCTAGGGAAAATGGACGGCATTCAAGTGGCCGCAAGCCCGCACAAGCGTGAATGTGCCTTTTCATTCATATGAGATGCAAGTGAGGATTCTTGCGGTCATGAAAGGCATCTATATTACCTATGTGTTTGGAGGTGTTCATTCAATGTGCGTTTTTCAAAGCAGCTCTGGGGACACAAGTGGCATTTATACAGCCGCTCCCCCATGTGGATGCACATGTGCCTGTTCAGATGGAGCCTTTGTGTGAACTTTTCTAGGCATGAAGGGACTTAAATGGCTTCTCACCCATGTGAACACGCAAGTGCCTATTCAAGGTCGCTTTGTGGGAGAAGCTTCGGGAGCAGATGTGGCAATTATACGGCCGCTCACCCGTGTGAACACGTAGGTGAACCTTCAAGTTGCATTTGTGGGAGAAGCTTCGGGAGCAGATGTGGCATTCATACGGGCGCTCACCCGTATGAACACGCAAGTGACCAGTCAAAGTGGATTTCTGAGAGAAGCTTTGGGAGCAGATATGGCATTTATATAGCTGCTCGCCTGTGTGGGATACAAGGTGTCTATTCAATGTGTGCTTATCAAAAAAACTATTGGGGCACAAGTGGCATTTATGCGGCCGCTCGCCTGTGTGTATGTACACTGTGCTTGTTCAGTAGGTACATTTGCGTAACTTTTGCGAGCATAAAGGGCACTTATATGGCTGCTCACCAGTGTGAAGACGCAGGTGAACAGTCAAGCTGAATTTGCGAGCGAAGCTTTGGGGGCAGATACTGCACTTATATGGCCGCTCACCCGTGTGAATTCGCAGGTGAACGTTCAAATTGGATTTTTGACAGAAGCTTCGGAGGCACACGTCGCACTCATATGGCCGTTCCCCTCGGTGGGTGCGAAGGTGGACATTCAATGGGGACTTTTGATTAAAGCTCTGTGGGCACAGATGGCACTGGTATGGCCGCTCGCCTGTGTGGATGCGCAAGTGACGGTTCAATGCAGATCTTCGTTCGAAGCTCTGTGGGCACAAATAACATTGATGTGGCCGCTCCCCTGTATGAACCCTGATGTGTTCATTAAGGCGAGATGTTTCATCAGTCTCGTAGTTGCAGAAGCTACAATGATGACGGCATCCCCACAACACTTTTTCAGCATCCATAGTTTGTGGATCGATGTGAAACCCGCAGAAGCTGCATAAAGAAGACAAAGCAGGTTATTTAAATATTGAACATATTGCGGAAAGTAGGCGCTGATCTGGACCTCAGCCAGATTTTAGTCATGCTAACAAAGAGCATTGATAAGTTGAGCATGAGGTTGCAAATTTCTTAAGCGTGCTTTCTTTATACAAAGGCGAATCCTTGCCGTTTGCACCAAGTGGGGAGCCTTTTGTACTTCGTTGTACAGCAGGTCACTGCCACTGGCCAACAGTCGACATAAAACCAGAGGGGTGTTTTCATGAGATGGGCTTCTTGCCGAGGTGCATGTCGTGAGGCGTGGCATCATGCCAGTGCCACGCTCCGGTCTACGTATATATGTATCTGTATATAAGGAGACGCAAAAAAAACAAAATCCTGAGAAAAAGCTTCGGTGCGCAGCATTGAACATAGGACTTCCGCATCATGAATGCGAGGCGTTAACCACCGAGCCACTGAGGGGTGCCTCCTTCAATGTTCAAACGGCAAGCAATTTATATCTACCACTTACCGCTGCTGGCAGGCATCTCGGAAAAAGGGGGGGGGGGGGGGAATATTGTCACGACGTCGAAACAGAGGTCTTGCGGCAGAAACTGAGACACCAGAAGCAGGTAGGTTCTTTTAATAGAACGCGCAAGAGAGTTCTTCTTTTTCATCCATTTCATTGTACTTCATGGCACATGCACAACTGTCATTGTCTTTCTTTTTGACAAGCACGTGACATTTGCCTCCCTCCGAAAGAGGCATCGTCCCGATGCGCAACCTAGGCGCTCTACCAGGCATATGAAGTGGTCGCGTCAACTGGATAAATACGGTTTCATACGCACGACGTGTACGACTTCGGGTAAATGATTTTGACGCTTAGAACTACAGTCAGTGTCAGGAACAACTTCATAGTTCACGTCGTTCAAGCGTCGCGTGACGCTGTATGGGGCAAAGTATCGTCTTAGCAGTTTTTCCGACAGTCCACGTCGACGTATCGGAATCCAGACCCAGACCTTGTCGCCTGGTGTGTAGCTAATAAACTTGTGTCGGGGGTCGTACCGTTGTGCATCTTGATGCTGTTGATGACAGATGCGCACACGCGGGAGCTGTCTGGCTTCCTCGGCACGCTGAGTGAACTCTTCGGCGTCCACATGGATGTCGTCACACTCATGCGGCAACATGGCGTCCAACGTTGTCGTGACTTCGCGACCATAGATCAGACTGAACGGCGTCCTTCCAGTGGTTTCTTGTCGAGCGGTATTATAGGCAAAGGTCACGTACGGCAATATCTGATCCCAGTTTTTATGCTTTGTGTCAACGTACATGCTGATCATGTCTGTGAGGGTCCTATTGAGGCGCTCTGTCAGTCCGTTTGTCTGCGGATGGTAAGCAGTTGTTTTCCGGTGAGCTGTACCGCTGAGTCTGAGAACCGACTCCAAAAGTTTTGCGGTGAAGGCAGGTCCTCTGTCTGTGATCACTGCTGTCGGAGCGCCATGCCGAAGGACGATGTTTTCGATGAAGAACTGAGCGGCCTCTGCTGCTGTGCCGCGCTGCATAGCTTTAGTCTCCGCATAACGGGAGAGGTAATCGGTGGCCACGATTATCCATCTGTTACCTGTTGTGGAAGTTGGAAAGGGGCCCAGGAAATCCATTCCAATCAGAGTGAACGGCTTCGCTGGTGCTAGGAATGGATGTAAAAGACCGGCTGGCTTGCTAGGAGGTGCTTTGCGTCTTTGGCAGTCGGTGCAAGTTCACACGTGATGGTTAACATCAGCGGGTAACTTTGGCCAGTAGTACTTGCATCGCAGTCGGCACAATGTTCGGGTGTAGCCTAGATGACCAGAAGTTGCTTCATCATGGCACGCTTCCGTAATTTCTTTTCAAAGAGAGGCAGGCACGACGAGCAAGTGCGGGTTGCCGGTTGGTGAGAAGTTTCTCTTATAGAGAACATCGTTTCGCAAGGAAAAAGATGGCAGTCCTCTGGCAAATAACCGCGGCACGTCCTTACGTCGTCCTTCTAAATATTCAATGAGTGGTAACAGCTCGGGGTCACTGCACTGCTCCTGTGCAATAGTGGCCGTGTTGACGACTCCCAAGAATGCCGCGTCGATGTTTTCGTCATCACGACCGACAGTCTCCACTGGCGACCGTGAGAGACAGTCGGCGTCGGTGTGCCGCTTCCCAGATTTATAGACGATGGTCATGTCGAACTCTTGAAGTCTTAGGCTCCAGCGTGCCAAACGGCCAGATGGATCTTTAAGGTTGGTGAGCCAGCACAAAGAGTGATGGTCGCTAACAACCTTGAAGGAGCGGCCGTACAAATATGGACGAAATTTGATGACCGCCCACACCACGGCTAGACACTCCTTCTCGGTAGTCGAGTAGTTCTCCTCCGTGCGAGAGAGAGCTCTGCTGGCGTAGGCTATTACTCTTTCACAGCCGTCTTGCCACTGCACCAGAACGGCACCCAGACCTACATTGCTGGCGTCAGTGTGAAGTGCTGTAGGGGCTTCCTGGTCGAAGTGCGCGAGGACTGGAGGTGTTTGCAGGCGTTGTCGTAGTTCATTGAACGCCATTTGCTGTTGTTCACCCCAAAAGAAGGGGACGTCCTCACGTGTGAGTCGTGTCAATGGCGCCGCAATAGACGAAAAGTCCTCAATAAATCGCCGGTAATAGGCACACAACCCTAAAAAGCGTCTCACGGCCTTTTTGTCGCATGGTGCAGGAAATTGCGCTACGGCGTCTATTTTGGCCGGGTCAGGTCGAACACCCTCGTGACTGACAACGTGGCCTAAGAAGTTGAGTTCGTTAAAACCAAAATGACATTTTTCCGGTTTTAAAGTAAGGCCGGCCGAACGTATGGCTTGGAGGACGGTGAATAAACGGCTGAGATGTTCCTCGAATGTTGCTGAGAATACAATAACATCGTCGAGATAGACCAAGCATGTTTGCCACTTCAGGCCTGATAGTACGGTGTCCATGAGACGTTGAAAAGTGGCTGGCGCCGAGCACAACCCAAAAGGAAGCACCTTAAATTTGTAGAGGCCGTCGGGCGTCACGAAGGCCATTTTTTCACGATCTCTCTCGTCGACTTCTATCTGCCAGTAGCCGCTTCGGAGGTCCATTGAAGAGAAATAGCGCGTATGACGCAGCCGATCGAGTGAATCGTCTATGCGGGGCAGTGGATAGACGTCTTTCTTCGTGACTTGGTTCAACTTGCGATAATCAATACAGAAGCGCAAGCTGCCGTCTTTTTTCTTGACCAAAACCATGGGGGACGCCCAAGGACTTTTCGAAGGTTGTATGACGTCATCCGCGAGCATCTTGTGTACTTGCTTCTGAATCTCCTCGCGCTCTTTCGGAGACACACGGTAGGGGTTTTGCCGAATCGGTCGCGTGTTGTCTTCAGTAATGATGCGGTGCTTGGTCAATGGCGTTTGCTGTACCTTTGACGTACGCGAAAAGCAGTCTTCGAATTGGTGTAGAAGTTCAAGCAGGCGCTTCCTATCAGAGGGCGGTAGCGTAGAGCAGATGTCCACCGACAAAGTTGTCGAGGCAGGGACAGCCGCGTCATCTGGTTGCAAGGTAAAACAATCCCCGGCTTGGTCTACATCGTCGTAGTAGGCAATAGCGGTACCCTTCTGGATTTGACGGCGCTCGTTGCTGAAGTTTGTGAGCAGCAATTCCGCCTGTCCTCCAGTAAGCGCCAGGACGCCCCTCGCGATGGAAATGCCTTGCGTGAACAAAAGAGTGACTATGTGCTCCGCTATCACATCTTTATAGCAAGGACACCCACTGGACACTGACACAAGGCAGCAGGATCTCGGTAGGAGTGTCACATCGTCGGCTATTCGCAAACGGCCGCGTGGTTCTTCACTGCTGTTGTCGGCATAAGGATGAGTGCAAAACGTCACCATACGTTGAGGGATGTTGATAACAGCGCCATGATCTTGAAGAAAATCCATGCCCAAAATTAACTCTTTACAAAAGTCTGGCAACAGGACGAAAGTGGCCACGAAGCTAGAATCTCCGATGCGAAGTCTAGTGGTGCATTTACCCGTGGGTGTCATCAGCTGACCACCAGCACTCCTTATGTGCGGCCCTGTCCACGGTGTCTTGACCTTTCTGAGGCGGTCGGCGAGCTCTTGTCGCATGATTGAGAAGTCGGCGCCAGTGTCGACCAGTGCTGTAACGTGATGTCTGTCAATGAGAACGCTCAGATCGGCACGTACTTCTTCAGCATTATTATTCGTCGTCGTATTCATCGTCGTTGTCGTCATACCTTCTTGCGATGATTGGGGGAACTTTTCAGTGTGTCGACGATTGGCAACCTTGCCCCCCGAAGTCGCATCAGTTAGTTTCCCTGGCGCGGGCTAGGCGAACGGCCTCTGGTGACGTCCGCGTAGCTCTGAGGGAAGTCACGGTGACGCGCAGGTGATGGAGATCGCCAGCGACGCGGTGGGGTTGCTTGAGCAGGCGATAGTTGATCGGCATCGTGGGCACGACGGTCTTCGGAGCGGAAAGAAGTGGGACGAGAAAAGTTCCCGAACCCAGAATCGCCGTGACGGCAATAGCGGGCAATGTGACCGGTTTCTCCGCAGCGGTAGCAAACAGGTCGACTGGTCGGCCATGCACAAGTCAGTTCGGCGAACTGTTGGTCGTCTCGTAGAATCTCGTTGCCACCAAGGTACGGCAGTGGGTTGTGGCTGGAAGGGCGTCGCCACAAATGTCGGTGGAGGACGACGGACCACATCAGCGCAGCTCGCTGGATGTGGCTCAGGATTTGGCGCGGGTGGTGTAATGGCTTGCCTCAACTCCTGGCGGACGATTTCGGCAACAGATGCGACTGGCGGTTGGGCAGGGGGAACGCAGAGGGCCCGAAGTTCCTCACGTAGTATTTCTCTAATCATTTGCCGTAGGGAACTTTCGCATACGGCAGTGTTCTGAGCTGCAGCACTTACTGCCGTGTGGTTCTGCAGGCGGTCAAAGTGTCGGCGTCGTTGTTGCAGTGCGCGCTCGATGACTGTCGCCTCTCTTATGAATTCATCTACAGTTGTAGGTGGATTTCTTACGAGGCCCGCAAACACTTGTTCCTTAACACCCTGCATTAGGTGACGCACCTTCTTCGCTTCGGGCATGTCAGGGTCAGCTCGTCGAAACAGACGAATCATACCCTCTGCGTACATGGCGGCTGTTTCATTGGGTTTTTGCACGCGTGCCTCAATCACTTGCTGTGCGCGATCCCGTCGGTCCGAGTTCAAAAATGTAGCGAGGAGCTTTCAACGGAAGTCTTCCCAAGATTGGAATGTAGCCTCGCGGTTCTCATACCACGTGCGAGCGCTATCTTCCAGTGCGAAATATGCACGGCCAAGTTTGTGCTGTTCGCTCCAGTTGTTGGATACAGCGACCCGTTCGAACTGTTCGAGCCAGTCTTCGACATCCTCGTACTCTTCCCCACGGAAAACTTCAGGAACGCGAGGATGTTCAAGAGTTACCTGCGAGGGAAGAGTGATCTGCGATGGCGGGATAACCGTGGATGTCCTAGGAGGTGCCATGCTGGAAAGAGGCGGAACAGGTGCGGACTCTGGACTTAGGCCTAGTAGGCGCGGACTGAATCGGTGCACTGGAGTCGTGACGAGGGGCTGAGTCTCTGGACTAGGTGAACGGGTCCGAGTAAGACTGTCCTGCATCAGGGTGTAGGCTCCAGCACCTCTACCAGTGTCACGACGTCGAAACGGAGGTCTTGCGGCAGAAACTGAGACACCAGAAGCAGGTAGGTTCTTTTAATAGAACGCACAAGAGAGTTCTTCTTTTTCATCCATTTCATTGTACTTCATGGCATATGCACAACTGTCATTGTCTTTCTTTTTGACAAGCACGTGACAATATTATGTTTTCAGCATTCTCATCTCTCACGGCTACTTTGGCCCACAGAAAGGAGGGGAGTGGACGATCTCTCACGCGCCCTTATCACCAGTTGGGACGATTCATAGGTTTTGGCTGGGGTTGGGCTTGCAATGAAACAATTCTGTCGTAGTTACAGGGCGCAGAAAGGTCACTGCAATCGTTGCACAGCCTCCATTTGCCAAAAGGGTGCACTTTTCAGACACAGCGAAGTAACAACCGAGACGCTTATTCACGTTCATCTGTACTTGCGAGTATGTTTCGTGCGTCATTGGTGCGTGAGAAACGCAGGGCACGTTTCGATCTGCTTGCCATTCTGCGCGTGACCTTCAAATTTGTTGCTATCGTGTTCAATGCTTCGCCTTTGCGGCAAACCTGTGACATTTTTTTTAAAAACAGTCAAGTCCACTGAATTGAAACTGAGGAAAATACAGTTTTTTTTTTTTTTGCTACTGACATTATGGTAGGGCCTGCTCAAACAACGTTTTGCCAGTACAGTATAACCTCGTTACAACAGACTTTCATAGTGAAGCTAACTTTAGTATGTTGTAAAGGGAGTATGTGAAGTCCATGTACTGTAACAGACTTTTATGTAAATGCATAAAAAGTCAGTTATAACAAGAAAGAATTGTAAGTCACAAACGCAACAGAGTTGACTAACGGATTTATTCTTAGATCTCTTGAAAAAAGCTAGTCATTTTTACCTGCACTGTGTGGCAGACAGCTTTAGACACTGTACGCGCCTCCATTGTCACAAGTGTGTTCAAATCATCTGCACCCGTGGCCTTTTGCGTGAAATAGTTTTTCAGCCCTTGAATACAGTAAGGGCTTGAGAAGTTGACATTTTCTCGGTTACAGTCTCTGAAGTGCCGTCTTCATTTTCGTCTTCATCCTGCTGCCGTGCATTTGGCACACTGCGAATTCGGGCAACAATTTCTTCATCTGTCAGCTGCTCTGAGGTGACAAGGTCATCATCCACAGTTACATAATTGGAAAACTGCTGGCTCCCAAGGGCCTCCTCGACAGCTGACCAGACACTGGGATCTGGTTGGCCTTCCAGTGGTGAGGGGTCTGTGCAGTCACTGTCACCAATAAAAAAAACAGCTTTTCAAAAGCTATTTTGTATTATTGCTGGCTAAATCTACGCCCACACCATTGAAAGTACCTGAACAGCAAATTTGAGGTCTATGATCGACTTTCGCTTTTACTGCATGTCAAAAGGTAAACGCTCAGCAAGGCGTGAGCGATACCTTGACTTTGAGTGCACAATAACTTGATCAATAGGCTGAGCCTTTGACGTTGTTTTAGATGGGAAGTGTGCGACCATAGTTGCATGTAGCTGGGAAAGGTGCGTGTGGCTCGAGCAATTGTCGAGGAAAAGTAACACATTCCTGTTTAGTTGGTGCATCTTGCTGTCAAAGTCGAGCAGCCATCAGTTGAAAATATCTTTGGTCATGCAGGCACTTTTGCTCGAATCCCAGTCCATGGGAACGTGCATGTAACGCATGCACTGCGGTCTTTTCGACTTGCCTATAACGAATAGGTTGGTTTTTTCGCTCCAGTCCATATCGCAGCAAAAGAGGATGCTAACACGCTCCTTGGACTTCTTGCTGTAATGGCACGCGTCTTGGGCAAAACAAATTGTGTTTCCTGGCTTTAACTTATAAAAAAAGAACGCTCTCATCGGCATTGAACACATCCCGCGGTGCATAGCCTTCGAGATAAGCGGGAAGAACATCGGCTTTCCAGTCGGCAACAACAGTGTCGTCGACGCTCGCAGACTCTCCGAATAGACACTTAAAGGCGATTCCGTGCCTCGATTTAAAACAGTTTAGCCAACCTTCACTGCAGTGAAACTGTTCTTGATTAAAGGCAAATGCAAGTTGCTCCGTGCGTATTCGTACCGACAGTCCGTTTACAGGAATATTTCTCGAACGGGCGTCAGGAAGCCACATCAGCAGGGTCTCTTCGACGTCAGGATATGAAGCTTCACGGAGCCGAAACCTCTTGGGTTGTAAGTCACCTAATACCTTCTTCGACAAGATTGTCGCTTTGCTCTTGAGAATGGTATTGACCGTCTGCTTGGACAAGCCATAAGCTACGGCGACGTCCACCCGCTTTCTTCCTTTTTCAACTTGCTCAATCATGTCAAGCTTGTCTTTCAGGGATATCTGCTTACGCTTAGTCGCTTGCAGTGGCTTGCGACGGCCAGCATTGGCTGATGTGTTCAGCTCCGTAGGCTCAATCACACTGTGATCACATCCACAACGAACCAATGCACACAATACATGAGGAGTGAATTAACAAAACATTGAAACAGCCCCAGCCGAACAAAGCACCCGCTCAGAGAACACCTATCACTACCCACTGTGAGTGCCATGCCGAACGTAACTTCTATTCCGAGAGGGGCCGCTACCAAGTGAGGGCCTTCTATCAACTTTTTTTTACTTTGGCAAAAGTATGCAATTGCTTAAGAAGTATCGCTTTATTGTTTTTTTTTTTCTTTTTTTGAGTCAATAAGCAGACTGTTTTTTGCTTTGATAACACTGTAATCATAAAAATTATGCATCAATTTTCATACGATGCATTGGCCGTGAGTCGTAGTAAGACCTGCTAGCCGGATCGATCCAAGCCAAGCACGACTGTCTCAAAATGGTCGCCACCTGTGTTGACACCGCAGACACGTTGCTCCCGTCCTGGAAGTATGCCAAGCGATGTGAGAAGTCCGCTGTGAAGGAGTGCCGATTATTTTCTGGCCTCTCATTTCGGTCAATTATATCCGAATGCGTGTTGTACCCAGATCCGTAGTAAACAAATCTCGATTAACGGTACAGATAGGAAGATCAACATAACGCCGCAAATTTGTATGTACAGTGAAATCTCGGTATAATGAACTTCAGGGGACCACAAAAATTTGTTTGTTATTTTGAAAAGTCATATTAGAGAAAGCTCGAAAATTAACTATAAATACTTATTTTTCATTGATTAAAACGCCTCACCTTTACAACGGAGGCCTTGAACTCGTTTTTCAGGAGAAAAATAACAAATGCACAAGTAAACACCAAAAAACTCACGTTTTTTTTAGAAGTCTATGATATTTTTTTTTATGCGAGCAGCACAAACTTTGCAGCGCGGAAGCCTCCAGCTCATCCACATTCCTATGGTGCGATTCGGTTCTTTGGTCCCAACAGCCTGCTTTTTGCCTTCCAGTTGCTGAAGAATATTCATTGTCTCGCATAGCGAAAACTGCTTCTGCTTCTTCGTCGCAAGCAGAAATGAACTCATTTGTAGTATCACCGCAGCGCGAACGCCGACTTGCTTTGCGGACGCGATAAGTAATCACCGAAAAGAGATGAACACGACTGAAAAAACAAGGCCTCTAAAGAAAAACCCGAAGCGTCACGGCTGTCATCACCTCTTTCGAAGAAAAAAAAGTGCTAAAAAAAGAAAATTCCTTGCGTTTCGTTTTCTGCTTTCTCGCTTTCTCAGGGTTTCCGCGCCCATGCTTCCTGCTCCGCATCTCCCACTCTGCCTGGCTGACCTTTCCCTCCCGTGCTGCCCTCACCTCTGCGCTCGCTCGTAAGCCTGCAGCATCAGAGTTTAAAAAAAAAAAAAAAAGAAAAGAAAGTCGCCCTTTAGTTTTTTTTTCCCCCTCCACATTGTCGCACGTCTTTCGAGAAGCAAGGCGTCCGTTTGCTTTGTCGTCTGCTTGCGTACAGCTCTGGTGGTCCCGACGGATTTCAGAACATAAGTTCGTAGTACTGAGGCGTAGTTATTATAATGCGGAACTAAATTAACCCTCGTTATTCTGAAAGTTCGGTATTCTGAAATATGTAATAGTGAAATACTTTTACATTGAAACGATTAGCAGTCGGCGCGGGATTTTTTATAAGTTCGTTAATATGAAAAGGTCGTTAATATGGGGTTCGTTATACCGAGATTTCACTGTAGTGTCCGAATGTCTGTTGTAACAAGATCGTACTGTACTCCCCTGTCATTAAGTGCCACAAATGTAGAAGCAGCTAAGATCTATATAGCCCACTATCATGAAAAGACACGAGTAATAGAATTTAAATCAAGCTCTTACAAATTGCAACAGTTCACATGAGTTTGAACTGCCCAAGCAAAAGTGGTCAGAATGGCAGCGAACAAACCATATGGCAATATTTTCCAGTACATTTAGCATCATCTTTGTGCCTTAGTTGATGCCATCCATTGCTGCACTGTCCTAATGGCAATGACTAAACTTGGAGAGTGAATGGACCTCACAGGCAATAGGACAACCCTTCTGGACAGTCGGCAGCATTTTCTTGAGTTCAAAATCTATAGAAGGTCTTCAGAAATACTTCAGCTCTTCGTAGCTTCTGAGCTGGTTCTTACGCCGCAGCCTTTCATATCACTTTTTTCATTGAAGAATGAATCAGTGCTAAATATCTTCAATGCAGTTTTCCATTTCACATGTATCGACTTGTACTGAATAAAAGGCATGGTCCTGTTGTGCTGACCTCGAAAAGAAACACCAAGAGGCAGAAAGAAGCACAAAAGTCGCTTATATTCAACCTTCACCCTATAAAATTATCTCCTTCCACGTGTACCAACTTATGAAAAAGCAATTGTAAAGTAAAAGCACAATATTAAGACAACTAAGATATAAATCAAACAAACTGGATACAATCATGGTGAATTTTCTTCGTGACAACTGTCGACACAGTTCTGGTTTAACAGATCTGGCTCACTTTTCATTTGAAACTGCTTTTCTGAGTAACCCCCGCATTCAGAAATGCTCATCGAGTTCAATATTGCAGAAATGCGTTTCGAACACGCTGTCTTTAACGTTGCCAAGGCAGCACAAATGCGTTTTGAACATACTGCTTCGAGGTGGCGGCAAGTCAAGTTCAAGACAAGGAGCGTTTGTGAATATGGATGTAAGTTTTACATGATTGTGACGTACATAGATTGCCCCAGTTTGATTAGAAATGTTGTAGAAGTCAAAGCTACTTCAGCATGCTTAATGTTCCCATAAAATTTAACCCAGTTTTGGTCTCCGGATATGGGTCTTTTAGAAAAAAAGAACACCACAAGTTCTTTACCCTGTTCCATGACTCCTCAAGTAACTTCTAATGCGCTCGCCAGAACGAGAGAAGAAAGGAAGAACTAAAAGCATGCGACTTATCTCTGTATCTTCGCTTATTCTCAATCGATTCAAGAAGCTTTTGCAGGAAATGATTAGTGAGGCAGTTAACTCTGATACTGAGGTCTTTCAAAGATTACTTTGCAAAGTGGTTCAAAACTCCTTTGAGGTATGTCCTAACCTTTTTTGGAAATCTCTTTAGGTTTTGATCCTAAAGTGATGACATTGTGCTGGGCTTAAAAAAGGGCTGTTTATGAAAAGACACTTCAGGCATGCTAGGTAAGAAAAGTACTAATCACAGTTTAATTATAGAAATTACCCAAAATATGCTCATCATGCAAATGGAGGTAACTGTCGATCCTCTCTTGGAAAATTAAAATAGTTTGGCAGCAATGTAGCTGTACATTCAGGCTGTGCAATGAACTATAATGTTTGCATTGTCATCAATGTTAAGCAAAGTATGGGCAAAAAACCCCAAAATATGCAAAGTAAGATGGTTGTATTTCATATGAAACCTTACTACATCAAAAGTTCCTTGTGGTTTTTGATTATCCTGTTCATTGCATAGGTTAAAGTTCCATGAAGAAGCATGGGCAGTTTCATTGAAAAATATTGGGCCATTCAAAAGTTACCAGGTCACCAGGCTCATAGCTGGGACCTTCCACAGCTGGCACGAGTTTCCCATTTGGCGATTTAACAGCTTGTAGTTTTTTTTGTTTTTTTAACCTTGTTTTTTTTGTAAGCAGTTGACTGGCTGAGAGCTTTGTTCAAGCAAGCTCAGTGCCGTCAAGGCAAGCTATTGTGCTGTAGTAGCCAGGTTCGACGTCAGTCTGCCTCAAGATATTCAGTCTGTCACTATTTCCAGTGCTGAACTGGCATGTTCAATCCTACAGTAGAAACGAGAAACAAAAGAAGACGTGGGCCTACATGGACATCTTTAGGGACACAATGCCAAAACATCTTCTGGAGCATTCATTCGTGTTCTGGGTTTTTCCACAGGCATAGTTCATCAAGGCATATCGTTTACACAGAGGTCTGCATACACAGCCTTCTTTGTTAGGGATGTCTTTGTAAGAACCTCTAGTGTGCTTGTATTGTCCTGTGCCTAGAGATTTCATCCGACTGCAGACACACAAACTTTCTACATTCTGTGTTGCGGCCTTTGTTCTACTCGGAACTTAGCCTTATCTTGTTATTTTTGGAAAGACAACAATCCAATCTAGGACACCAAATTGAAGGAAAAGTAGCTTTCACAATAGTAGTACAACACATCAGCGCAGTGTAAACACGGTGTCACCCTGTGTGGCCTGACGCAGAAGTTATTACGGTTTTAATAAAAAATGGCTGCTATTATCATTGCTCATTCTCATTAAGCTTTAGCATACGTCACCACAAGCCAATCTAAAGGTATCCTGCTAAATTTGGCACAAATGCAAGTATGCTTTGCTTATTTAAACGTAGGCTTCATTTTTCAGGAAGGTCAACCGGTAGTTGTAAATGTAAACATAACTGTCCAAGAAACGTCATTTTTGCTTCAGAACAATTGTGAACGTCTGTATATTCCTTAAATATTAAAAAGTGCAATTCGCTTTTTTTAATAATGTTTTGAAGGGTAGCAACATACCTTTTACGTATCTTGAAGATGAGCTAAGCAGCCTTTGAACCAGGCTCGATTCTAGCTGGGAAGGCACGTCACTGCCCGTGCTCAATGCTGAACTGCGAAAAAAGTGGAGGAGAGCCTGTTGTTACAATTGGAACAATATTGCGCAAGCTACGCCAAATGGACCCTAACCAACTAGCCATCCCAATAGTCGTTGCTCTTCGGTAGCGTTTTGGGCGTGTTAGTATATCATATTACGGTAAGACATACCAACACGCCAACCAAGACGGTGGCACACGAAGACGTTACAGATAGCATGACGATAATTATAGCGCGAGAACAAAACGACGACACAGAGACAAGAAGGACACGAGCGCAAGAAGGACACGAAGAACACGAGCGCTCGTGTCCTTCTTGTCTCTGTGTCGTCGTTTTGTTCTCGCGCTATAACTTTTGTCATGCCATACCAACTAGCCCAAGCTGCCACACGTGACAGATGGCGCCTGTAAGTGTCACGTC